TAAATGGAGGATCTTGATTTTTACATCGTTTAGAAGCGTCTTCAAATATATATAAATATACATAACCACCCCCACACATATTTAAATATACTGTTTGGTGTATTTTAGTTCAAACCATATACTCTACATTTTTTAGGAAATATATTATTTTATATGCCTCTTAACCTTAACACAAGTTACTTAATGTCTCTTGACTTCTGTATCTTCATTTCTAAAATTGGTGGTAATAACAGTATCTACCTCATAGCGTGGTTGTGAGGATTAAACGGGTGACTGCACACAGAGCCTCTGGGCACTGGCTGGTTGTTAAGTAGGAACAGCTAGCACGTCCTAGTGCGACACACTAGCTATTCTTCTTCTTTTTCTTCTTTTTAGAAACAGAAAGGATCCTAACTTATAGCACTATCAGGGGCTACTTAGAATAACAAGTTATGGATAAGAAAAACATTATTATTTATCAAATTTTAATTTCTGAGACAGAGATAACCATGATCAGGATAAGAATTTCTTACAACAAAAAAAGTTATGTGTTAATAGGGTTTGAAGCTTTATTAATAGGTCACTTCTTAAACTTAAGAATTCTGGTTTGTAGTGAACTTCTAAAAATGAATTTTATGTAACATGGTCACTATTACGCCAATCTAAATTAATAGATAGGTTTCGGCATTTACGAAATGCATGTATATATTCCTATAAATTATGGTGGCTATTTCTAGGGCTCTTAGTTTTCCCTTCATAAAACATCTATCTCCCACTTCTTTTCTACTGTACCCAAGGTTCAGAGTACATTTGTAGGCTGTTCTTTTAAAAATGAACACTACAGACCAGGCAGGGGATCAATATTTTAGGATAGTTTGTTAAGATTTTTCAGACATGCGGATCTAGCAATAAGAGTATCAGTTAGGAACAAGTGGATATGGATAGAAGCAAATCCGCTCACAGAAAAATCTGTCAAAAGTCAGAAATTAGAGGAGTCTTGATAGAGTAAATTGGCCAGGATTTTGAAATAATTGATTCAAGCATATCATTATTCTTTAGGTGTTCGTTACAAGCCAGATTTTTATTGAATTCTGTTTCTAAGCATAAATTAATATTAATAATTAGCTACCATGAAAGAGGAGACATATGAAGAGGTTATTAGACTTAGCTGGATTGTGCCACTGGCATTACTGGGCACATCTTATTATAATATACTTCAAGAGACTAGGCAAATTTGTATCAACTAATTATTTTTATTGGGAATAAAGGACCAGAGAGTCTATACTAAATTTTACAATTATTAAACATATCTGTTGATATATGTGAATGAAGAAGAGCAACACATTATTTAAAAAGGTCAGGAATCATATTTGTGAATTTTCTTTGTAAGATCAAGGATGAGACCAGGAAAAGAGAAAACACACCTGTGGGCAAATAGAATCAAAGAACTTCCTCTGCTTAAATATCCAAATGGCCTCAGACAAAATCTGAGCTAATAAAAAAAAAAACCAAACCACAAAAACAACAAAACCAGGGTCGGCCCGGTGGCGCACTGCTACAGTGCGCCGCTTGGGAGCGCGGTGGTG